GGGGGGTTGGAACTAGACGATCACTGTGGTCCTTTTCAACCCAGGCCATTCTGTGATTCTATGAAATACTGTACTAAAATGGTATGGAAATACAAATCACTTTTCTAATCCGGTGAGAACCATATCAAGTGATCAATTTTGATATCTATCATTAATGTTGCTGTACCAAGGTAACTTTAAATAAGAAATAGTTAAAGAAAGCACATTCTGAGGCCTCTGTGATCATTCTAAATCGTTTATTCTTTTGTGCTCCTCAGTAGAAAAAAGACTGGAGCATCTCTCCTATGAAGAAAGGCTGAGTGAACTGGGTCTGTTCAGCCTTGAGAACAGATGACTAAAGATGGGACCTGATCCAGGTCTATAAATATCTGAGGTGTGGGGGCCATAGTGGTGAGGCCAGTCTCTTTTCAGTGGTGAGTGGAGACAGGACAAGGGGAAACGGACATAAGCTGCAGCACAGGAAGTTCCTCACAAATGTGCGCAAGAACTTCTTTACAGTGAGGTGACGGAGCACTGGAACAGGCTGCCCAGGGAGGTGGTGGAGTCTCCTTCTCTGGAGATGTTCAAGACCTGCCTGGATGCCGACCTGTGTGACCTGCTGTAGGGAACCTGCTTTGGCAGGGGGTTGGACTCGATGATCTCTGGAGGTCCCTTCCAAACTCTACAATTCTGTGATTCTGTGATTCTATTCCTTTCCTCACAACCTCAGACACTGCCACTACCTTAATTATTCACACTTTCATACATTTTTTTCTCTAGGATCACTGACAGCTTATTCTATGCCTTCTTAATATAATGGTTGCATTTAAGTAAACATCTAATGTAGCTGCTCAGCCCAAGTACAGTTGCTTAGGTATCTCTGCTTCAGAATTAAGCATGCCAGTATCCTAACAATAAAACACCATCCTATCTTCACCAAAGACAAATACACCCCTAATGCTTGTATGGTGTTCAACTGAAAGCTCCACTTTTATCCGACATCTTCAAAATAGAGAGAGACAAAGTCAGAGAGTCATGGAATATCCCAAGCTGGAAGGGATTCACAGGGATCACCAAGTCCAATCCCTGGCTCCAAAAAGGACCACCAAAACACAAACAGCTAAGTCCCTCACCAAAAATTATGAGACATAAGAAAGGAAAATCAGCATTTAAAGAAAGTATTTCCAGCAGAAGATGATTAGTAGGCATTCCTATACCTCAAGAGACAGTCACAGTACCAGGGCAAGCAATTTGATAAAGAGATATCTTTGCAGGATACTTACTGTAAGTACTGGGAATAGAAAACAAATACGATACTAAAGAGTTCCTCTATTTAAAATAAAATTTAAAAAAAAGTTGATGAGACGAGACTATTAAACAGTGGGAAAATATATGCAGTCATTAATGTGGATTGCTTGTATGTACAGTCAAATTACTTTTTTTCAATATCAAAGCATGCATCACGAAAACACTGAAAGTGTATAGTCCAATTTCTATGAACGTAGTTTTAATGCCTTTTTTCTCCTGTAGAAAGTAGAATGAAGTCTACAAAAAGACAACCCTTACAAACTTAGCATTAGAATAAAAGTCTCAAAATCTTAATTAGTTTTATGTTGCATTTCTCACCTTTCCATTTCTGGAAAACAAAAAAAATCTCCTGGGTCACTGATAGTATCTGTATTCTGAAGATGTTTGGTTTCTGTTAGAATTGTTAGTCACCTTATTTATTTTCTCCTTTTCTGATTTGTTATGTACTTAGATTACTCATTACAAAGCTATCTTTTAACACCATAAAGATCAGTTTAAAGAAAAGAAAAGAGGAAGGGATGAGAATAAAGCAATCGGCCTTCTCGAGTTTTGGGTTTTTTTCATTTACATAATAGCCCTTTACAAAATAGATCCTCATAAAAAGCAAAGCATGGAACACGATGTCTGTTTTTCAACTGTATCTCTACTTTCCAAAGAATAAAACAAAGTGTGAACCATTAACGCCAAGCTACCCTCTTCATCCACGGCAAAGCTCTTCTAGGCTTCAAAGTTAGTGGAGGAGAGTTGGTCGCTTGAAATATGGACTCTGAGAACACAAAAGATCCTATTTAATTTCTATTATTATTGATCTGGGAAAGCAGAAGATGCTAAAGCTGAAAAAGAAAAATCTCTGAGACTTTTTAGAGAGGCATTTTTTGCAAATGTGCCAGTTTTAATCACACCTTAATCACTACAGCATTGCCAACACTGGACAATAAGTTAAGACGTAATTGAAAACCGCATCTGAACAAAGATGGATTTCCTGCAAAAAGCAAGAAGAAAACGATCTGAGCACAACACAGGGCTCCATCAGTCTCTCCTGCCCATGCTGGAGCACTGCACTGCTACTATCACTCAGCTGTTACTCCTGACCTGCCTAATGCTGTTCTCCCAGACACTCCCAAACACCATCGCCCCTTTGTCTCTCCGTCACACAGGGACATAGAGTTGGATGGTTCACCCTCACTCCATCCAGTTCACCACAGGCATGCAGAGCATGGTAGGCAAAGCAGAACACCTGTACTGGGCAGCCATTGCACACCAGCAACAGCCACCTTTAATGCTGACTGTGGGCATTTGACAAACAGCAGCCCCAAGGCAGGCTTGTTTCTCATCTGCTCCACCCAAGGTGCCCCAAAAATTCTGCTATTAGACTAGCTTTCTCAGCAATCCAGTGACTAACTTGTGATTTAAAGAGGAAGAGTGCTGTCAGCGGAAACAGAGAGACAGATCATCTCAGCCATAACTTAGTTGGCATGTGGGAGATAGGTTCTCAGCCCTGGCTTCCTACTGGGCACAAGAAGGATTAAAGTCCAGAAAATTACTCTCTAAGCAACAGTTATTGCAGGTTGATATACCTCTTCTTTTCCTGTTCTTTCTGATGGAGAAAAACACTCTTAAAATAACACTGTAGTCCTTTCCTTGCCAGCCAGTGTAAGTGTAAATCAATATAGGCACACAGGCAAGCACAACATTCTGGCTGTACCTCTACACAGGAACAAAACAAAGCCTGAGTGGCAGTCAGGTTCACCTACACCACCAGAGGCACCCGGCAAAGATCAAGCACATCACATTTTCTCATAAGTTCTTCAACTTCCTTCATCTTCAACAACAAAAAAGACTTTCAGTTCCCGTTCCTAGAGAATAAATCCAGTAACAAAATTATGTCACACAGATTCAACTTTATTCCGGAGGTTTTCTATTCCTACAAACCTGAATGGAATTGCTCCCAGTTCACATTAGTTTTCAGCTATACATTCAAACCTCAAAATCTCCCTAAAGGTAGTGATGTTCGTAAAAACCTTGCAGCCCAGCAGGACTAAGTTCATTACTTCAGTACAAAACCCCTTCAAGACAAATGTGAAACACGCTTTGCAGTCCATCCTAGACACAAGTCTCCAAAACAGAAAAAAAGCAAACTCATATTTTGCTCTATCCCACTTACATTCAGTAGTGAATTATAAGCAAGTTATCATCACTTTTCTTCCCAAGATGACAAAACAAAAAAAAGAAAAAAGGAAAAAAAAACCAAGATACTACTGTCAGGCCAGAATTAGAATTCTGATATAAATAAGCAGGCATTTAAGAATTAAGAATTTTAAAATGAACTTTCACAAGCAAAGTCCAAATACATCAGAATATAGAATTAAGCTACCAGTGCTTAAAAGTCTGACTAAGAACTACTAGTATAATATTAATCCTCACCTGCACAATAAATACATTCCCTGCTCTAGCAGTGCAGCTGGTGTATTTTATCACCTTTTAATTCAAACCACTTGTTGAAGTAGTCTTTAAAAACACATTTCTATAGTGGAATAAGAGATAAGATTTCCACCTCCTAATCCATATTAGCAATTTAAGATTTACAGTTCTCTCATCATTCATTCAGTGCAGCCTACCAAACCCATTTTTAAATAGACACCTTTTTCCAGGCCTTTCAGAAAAAAAAAAAAAAAAAAAAAAATCAATGCAGAAAAACAATTATTTTTCTTGACTTTTTGTCTTTAATAACATAAACCTCTTTCAGTGGCCCATTTAAATGATTTTTCTGTTTTATGAGGTAACATCACAAGGACAAGCAAAGATTAATATTAAAGAACCAATCAAAATAACTAAAATTTTATGCTATCACTCTTCACCCTTCCGGTCAGCTGCACAGTCTATTTCAATCTGCAAAGATGATGTTGCCATTAACCACAATGTTTTTTAATGAAATAGCCCTGATTCCTAGTCTCAGCACCGCAAACAAACTTTTTTGGAGCTGCAACACATCTTTATTACTTCAGAAAATGTTGCTACTGAATGAAGTCATTTTTTCCCAGAAGGACCTAAGCATACTAAGATTTGTTATGCTGTATGTGCCTGTCATAAATTTAAACACTGAGTAAAATACGTTCACTAAGTAAAATACTGTTGAAAGTGTATCAGGGACACAGGCAATATAACAATTTCGTATCTGTATAAGGAAAAAATTAGTCCCAATTTCTACATTTGTCCATCAGGATTTCTATTCAAATGCATCCGAATAATTAAGAAAATACAGGCAATTCCTCTTCAAATACTACAGTGTATTTTATGAATCTGTGCCACAGAAAAATATGATATGCCAGATGCTTATATAGAAATGATTTCTGAAAGGGTCCAACTTCAACATCATACATCAAATGGTGCAGCACCCTGCCAAGGATTATTTATAGAAAACCTACAGGTAATGCTTTAGCAACTTGCCAGATAGCAATACTTACAACATGGCTGCTCACAGATACAAGCTACAGTAACCATCACTAAATGAAAACTAAAAAGTACAAGTAGAAATAGTAGATGGTTGCAGCCACATGCTATGAATGTTTTCCTATCACTTTTCCTTGCAGTCTGCAGTTTACATTCTAATGCATTTATCAAAACCTAATTATAGTGGAAAGAGATGGCAGATACTCTGCAAGATGCAAAACTGTGTAAATAAACAACCCTGTGGGACAAATCCTTTTACTTACCTCATAGGACCAAACACACTGCGTTCCTCCAAATCTTCGGACGCACCTGCCCACCTCCACGTCCTCGTGAGTGGTGTACATCTCACGAAGGCATTCACCTATGTGTGGCACCATCCTCCTCAGAACCTCCCGGCTGAATATCATTCCTGGCCCTCCCATGCAGAAATTCTCTCCAGGCTCAAGTCCCAGCTTCCCAAGTTCTTCAATGTTACCCAGACCAGTCTGTCCCAAATACAGAGGCTCACTGCTGTTCAGCGAGCGAAGAAACTCCTCCAATTTTTCACCTGAAAAAATAAAAAACCACTGTTATCTGTCTACTTAGTCAGCCATCTGTTTTCCTGCATTTCAAGCTTGTTCTCTGCAATCTAACAGGCACCTTAGACTATCATAGGAAATTACCTCCAGTGTAGTATCCCTGGGCAACTTCATATGTCTCAGACTGTTTTTTAAAATGAATATCCTCAATTAATATTTCAGTGGCACTTTCATGTAGCCTGAAGAGAGAACATAATCAAAGCCTTACACTATTCAGCCAACACATGGAAATCATTCCCTCAGTAGTTTAAAACTCTAATCCGAGACAATTTGTCAATATAGTTCTAAGCTGAGGAGGAAGAGACACTGAGGAAAAATGTCAGGTATTATTTCTAATGAGACTGATTTTGGAAAAGATGAGCTCAAGCCTAAATTAGAAGAAACCTTTGATACAGAATAATTTCCTGTTCTTCCCCTTGGAACATGGCAAAAATCCAGCATTTTCTTTTAAATGGCTTACCAATTTTTTGCAAGAAATGTAATTCAGCATTTACCTGAAATTTAAAGTTGGCACACAGGTTTAACTTGCACCCGATTAAAGACAGGTTAACTACAACTCAGAACTAAGCCCAAAGACAACAGTGTCAGCTTTTACTCCTGCAACCAAATCCATGTAGGTGTGGTGTGTAAACAGTTCAGGGATGAATGACAGCTGACAAGTAAGGAACCTATTAAATGACTCAGACAAACCAAGCGACAAATAGTGCAGTTACCTCAAGTTAAATTTCTACAGTTTGTACCATGCTCATAACCCAGACTCATGCCTCTGCCATTTGGCCATACCTCCCTAGGAATAACAAATAACAGTGGTTTTTCTCTTGTTATCAGAAAGCAACTTTTTTCCTTAGGCAGTGGCAAGCACATACCAAAAGGGAGAAGGCTGCAGAACGTCCTTAACTAACGGTGTTACAACACCCACGCGGCACCTGGGCCAATACTTTCTGAACGCGCTGCGAAGCGCAGCAGCAGCTTTACAGGTAGACTTTGAGGTCTGCTCGGCTTGCAGTGCTACTCAGCCACGTGAGAATTCTCACTGTAACTGAAGACGCCGCCTCCGAGGAGCGCCACACCGCAGCCCCCGCGGTGGGCGCTGCCGGGTGGGACGGGACGGCCTCTTTCCGCGAAGCGTCCAGTGCTCCCCTGCCTCCCTCCAACTATCGGGACACCCGCGGTCACCTTTAATGTAGACGTCGTCGTCCGCCCGCATGAACCACTCGTACTTGTCCAGGTAGTGGTCGTGCATATACTTGATCATCATGAAAGACTTCTTCTGCGGCGGGTAGGAGTCGTCCACGCCGGGCAGGGCGACGACAGGCAGCAGGGGCAGCCCTGGGGGCGCGGCCGAGCCCTGGCTGGAGAAGAACTCCACGCGGCCCGGCACCGAGGGCGCCCACGTCCGCTGCGCCGCCACCGCCCGGCTGCCCAGGTACTTCTGGGCCGTCATTACCCCAACGTAGAGGAAGTTGCGAGGCTTGGCGCAGCCCGCCGCGCCTCCCCAGTCACCGCTCCCGTTGCGGCTGCCGCCGGGCCGCCCGCTCCGCTTCTCGCCGCCTTCCTCCTCCTCCTCCTGCTCCGCTTCTCCGCCGGCGGCGGGGCTGAACACCGTGCCTTCCTCTCCCGCCGGCAGTTCCCATGGGCTGCTCCGCACGCCCGTGCCTCCCAGCACCGCCGCGGCCGCCGGCTGCTCGACCGCCGCGCCGGCGCCCCCGGCAGCCCCCGGCCCCGCCGCGCGGCCGTAGTAGGAACAGAGGCTGGCGCCGCGCCGCTTCTTCTCGCTCATCTCGGCCACCCGGGGAGCGATGAGCCAGGAGGCGGCAGTGAAGCCCAGCACCAGCCCCAGAACCACGCTCAGCCAGGGTCTCCGCGAGCGTGCTGCCATGGCGCAGGCGGGGCGACGTCCCCCCACCGCGTCCCGCCGGAGGCGACACCCGTCCCGCCGCGGCTCCGGGTGCGGCGGCTTCGGACGCGGCTCCCCTGCCCGGCCGCGGTGGCCCCGGCGGTTGCACTGCTCCCGAGGCAAACTTCTCCGGGCGGGCGGCGACGTGGGCGGTGGAGCCCTAGCAGCGTCCCCTCGGCTTCGCTGGCACCTTGTCACTGCCGCGGCTGGTCCCTCCCCGCCCCTCCTACCGCTCAGCCTCCTCCACACGGCAGCGGCCCTCGCTTGCCGCTCCGCTACATTCCTCCGCGGTTTCCGAGCGCCTCACTCCGGAGGACGCCGATGCCCAGTCCGAACCGGAGAAGTTACAGCCCCGCCATCGTCGCTCCGGAAGGAAACGATTTTTTTAGGTCTCCACTGAGCTGCCCCGCGCCGTAGCCCCGTCGATGGGCCCGGACTCCAATGCCCCGCCGGACCCCGGCGCCCCCCAACGGCCGGGCCCCGGTCAGACATCGGGAGTCGGCGGCGCATCGGCTGTTCGGCGGGCGTGGCTGCGAGTCGCCCGAGGACGGCAGCGGCGGGAGCATCCTGTGCCGTGTCTGCCCCAGATGAGCTCCTGAATGACACGAGTGCGGTGCCGGGAGAATCATAGAATCATAGAATGGCCTGGGTTGAAAGGACCACGATCATCTAGTTTCAACCCCCCTGCTATGGGGACTGGTTAGAGCCACATCCAGCCTGGCCTTGAATGCCTCCAGAGATGGGGCATCCATAACCTCCTTGGGCAACCTGTTCCAGTGTGTCACCACCCTCTGAGTGAAAAATTTCCTCCTAATATCTAACTTAAACCTCTTGTGTCTCAGTTTAAAACCATTGTCCCCTGTCCTATCACTATCCACCCTCATAAACAGCCATACTCCCTCCTGTTTATAAGCTTCCTTCAAGTACTTGAAGGCCACAATGAGGTCTCCCGAGAGCCTTCTTCAAGGTAAGCAAGCCCAGTTCGCTCAATCTTTCTTCAGAGATGTGCTCCAGCCCTTTGATCATCTTAGTGGCCCTCCTTTGGACCCATTCCAAGAGCTCTTTGTCTTTGTGTGCTGGGGGCCCCAGGCCTGGATGCAGTGCTCCAGATGGGGCCTCACAAGTGCTGAGGGGGACAATTACCTCCCTCTCCCTGCTGGCCACTCCTCTTTTAATGCAGAGTTGGCTTTCCAGGCTGCAAGCACAGACTGCTAGCTCATGTCCTGCTTCTCATCTATCAGGACCCTCAAGTCCTTCTCCACAGGGCTGCTCTCAAAGAGTTCTTCTCACAGTCAGTATAAATACCTGGGATTGCCCCGACCCAAGTGCAGTACCCTGCACTTGGCCTTACTGAACCTCACAAGGTTTTCATGGGCCCACTTCTCTAGCCTGTCCAGGTTTGGATGGCTTCCCTTCAGGAAGGGATCACTCTCATCCCTCATGTTTATATCCACCACATGCAAGTTGCTCATCTCCAGAAAAAAAATCTCCCATGAAAATCTCCTCCATAAAGTTCCACAATGATTCCTAGTGCTCAATTGTCATCTCACAGGAATAAATTCGAGTTAATGAAGAAGCAGTGATGTATGTTCAATTGTTTGCCAGCAAAATCACCCATTTTGTAGCTCTCAAAGGCCATGAGTTGCCTATTATCATTTTTTTAAGTCTCATATATGAATGCCAGAACAAAAGAAGGGAATAGGCTTCAGCATTGTGCAATGACAACAAAAGTGATGGAGCAGTAGGAAAAGAGTGTCAGGCCTTTTTCCAAATAGACAGAAGTTGATCTGCCCACCTAACGGAAGATAAAAAGCCTGCAGTAGACGGTCCTTAGCTATGAAGAGGTCACTCACAGGAGTAATTTTCAGTCTTTCCTTCAAAATGCAATGGACTATGTACTCTTCATATCTCTGAGCTGTGAGAGCTCAGGCTCAGGCAGCACACTGTCTGGCTGCCCTGAGGCTGAACGTCCTTTCCAGAGGTATTCATTGCTGTTTGCCTCTCTACGTACAGGCTGGAGTGTTTATCATGCCCGTCAGCAAACATCTGGTTACCAGGCCCATCTATGTACTTGCTTATAGCTGTCACCACAGTGGCCTGAAGCAGTTTGTGCAGGCCCAAGCTGTTTATGCAACCCCAAGCAGTCCCACCTCAGGCCTTAGGCTTGTGGCACCTGAGGCAGGCTGCCTTTATCCTCCTTCGTGAGTTTGCCTGTGTGCTTTTGAGAATTGACTGCTTATCCCCCTTCTGAAAGCCGAAAAGAGGTAAGAATTTTTAATAAAATTAAAAGCTGATTAATAGCAACCAGCATTCTTGGACTTGGCAATGGCCGTGAGATGCTGTCCTGGCTGAGCAAGGCTGCAATAACAACGTAAGCACTGTACCTCAGAATCAACCATCCTTCAAAAGCATTCATTACAGCATTAGGGATTATCAGCATTATGGGCATCTCAGCTTCCCATAGAAGTCTTCTACTTAAAAGCAGTCTCCCACTGCCTGTGCTTTGCATGCTCAGCTCGGCTGAGTCCTGCAACTTATCTGCAGCACTGCCTTCAGCAGTGAGGGCCCCATGCACACCCACACACTCTACTGCCACAGTGCCCCTAGTCTTTTGCTTGCAGCTGTGGGTCACACAGGGATGACATATGACACCTACATGCTTCCACTGTTCTCACAATCACTGGAGTTACTCTTCTAGTCCATGTCAGCAGCTCCAATTCCTTGGGTCTGACAGCAGGGGAAACAGCACTTATCTTTGTCAACAGAAAAATAAATAAATAAACAAGTGAACCTGGGAGGTGGGAGATGACCATAAATATTTTAAACACATCCAAGATGAAACTGAACTGCAAGCTATTTTGTGCTATCAAAGAGGGCTATGAAAAGAGTTGAGTGTGAGGATATTTGGAGCAGAAATCTTAGAAGTGTCTACCTGCAGTTGTATTTTTAGCTCAATGTATGAGTATTTTGATACACCACAGGGAAATCTGTTGGAAATGTGTGTTTGTTTGTTTGCTTGTTTTTTTGTGGACGGAGCAAAGCAAAGACTGGATTGCTGTTATATGAGCAACTGTGGCATCTAGTGGTTAATAGCAGTCATGTGTCTGTGTTCAGGAAAGTAATGAAATCCAAGTCGTCTTTCCAGTTAAAATAAGGACTTGTTCTAACAACATTAAAATGCCTACCATGAATTCATATCTGCATGTCTTGCTAAATGTTATGATGTGTTTGGTAAGAATACTACATCAGTGTAACTCTGAATGTCTTTGGAAGAGATCAAGGTGCGGAGTTAATTTCAAAAATTTGAAATATTATTTTCTGTAAGCGCTGGATTGCAAATGAGCAAATCTGCCTTCAGTCCACCATGTATGTTCTTCAAATTACAGCGTTAGGGGACCCATTTTGTCCTACTTTTTGTCTTGCATAAAAAAGATATAAAATGCAATAGAATATCACGCTGGTAGGTTAATAGTCTCTGAAAACATGCCTTCTTACAGAAGAACTGCAGAAACAGAGAGAGATATAAGTTCTTTGCAACACTTCCAACAAATTTTGTTTGTTTGGTGTGGAGTTTTTTTTGTGCTTCTTTTTTTTTTTTTTGG